CTGTTGTCTTTAGGTTCTGCTGAGAAGATTCCTTTTGTTTTGCTTCGGACAACTTGTTATCGACAGTGGTGGGCAGCACTAATCTAAAATTTAGATCCACTAACCCTAAAACACTAACTCAAATATTTAGGTCCCCTAATTCTAAAACACTAACTCAAATATTTAGGTCCCCTAATTCTAAAACACTAACACATTGGAAAATTTAGCCAAAGCTAATTCTAAAGCACTGAAATAACTTGGTCAACCCCTGAACATCCTTCAACAGACAACATGTCACATGTTGCTCTTTTAAGACTTATTGACATTCCACAGCTGGATTTGTGTTCATATATTGTCACCTGGTGGATAAATGACACATATGAACAAAATGTGTGACAGTTTTCACCCTCAGTTGTTAACATTAGTGTTGATCAATAACATTTATGGACCTCAGTTAGTGCTTCTAAATTTAGCAAGTGCTAATCCACTAATAAATTTTAAAATTAGCAAAAGCGCTAAAGCACTAATCAGGAAATTAGTTCCCCTATTAGTGCTTTAGGGGAACTGTGCCCACCACTGGTTATCGAAAGCTAATGTTAGCACTGAACATCAACTGGATGTAAAYATACGGCAAGCCAGGAGAGACAAAATATAGAAACGCATTTCAGACGCACGCACCATGAGGAAGAATCGATCTTATGCCCTGTGAATCCATTTTCCCAAATTTAAATGAAGTCAATCCAAGATCAATTAAATCGATTATTTTTACCCAGCCCTAGTTGATATGACAGAATATTTACGACTTTTCTGATAGTAGCAACACATTCCTGATAACATCTCTCCATTGTCCTTAGATGCCCCTGCGAGTTTACGACTTCTATTTCCTGTTTGCGTCTGACGTAATTACACTTTGCATAGCCTTTTTGCAAAATTTTAAAAAACTTTGCTCAAAATTCAAATTAAAATTGGATGCAAACACGGCTAATGACACATTACACAGGATTTTACACATTTAGTCACATAACTGGTATATTACATTTGAATGTGTCTCAGCCACAGTGAAACAGGAAGTGACATCAAAGGGGAACACTTTAGGAAAAGGAACTCTGGTTTTTGTTTATTACAACATTATTTGAACTCTGACTCTTCATCTCTGATAGAAACTCAAAAATAATCTAAAGAAACATCAGATTCTTCTCTACAGTCTGTGTTTAGTTATTGTTGCAACGCTTTACATTTACATTCAGACATTTCCCTATGACATCACTTCCTGTTACTGAACGCCTGAATTTCTCGACAATGTCTAAGTGGTATTTTTTTTTCTTCAAGATTTTATCAGTGTTATATATTTTTTTAGTTTGTTCATGTTTAATAAAAAATGTACGGTAATGTCACAGGAAGTTTAAAACTTGTCCATGTTTGAAGAAGAGTTGGTTCCAGGAAACATTTACTGTTCCTTGCAGCTCTTGAGTCAGTGAGTAGCTACATGACTATTA